AGTTGCTTTAAAAATGTAAACCAAGAATAAGCAATTGACATAACATTATAATGGATGCTAATTGTATCTCTTTGAGAATGTGCGATTTACCTGACAGGTTCAAGCAACAAAATACACCCTCAAATAAGTAGGATGAGTTAAGAGAGAAGCAAAGCAAAAAGTATCTTCAAGGGGTGCCCATTTGTCAGCCATTAGCAGAGACAACCAGCTGACAAACAAATCTAGATCTCTCTTTACATTCTTCAGGAACCCACAAGGGAAAGAGTGCAGAAAACTATTAGAGAAGTAAGAGCAGATTCAGCACCAACAGCTGAGTTAGGTAACTTATCAGGTAACTATGAAAATCTTGACTGGTATACATGTACAAAAGGTTTCTAAATTTATTGTGGTGAAGAGAAAAGATCCCAGTGACCAAATCCAATCCAATTAGGATAAAAACATTTTCCTCTTTAACTGCCAGCTTTTGTATGAAAAATTGCTTCGTCTCAAGCTCAGTCAATTTTAAAATGTCTACTAGCTGGGTTTGCCCAGCAGGAGGCTAAAGGGTCTATTATGCTGACAGATGCTCCCTGCTTTAAAAGTGTACAGAATTTAAATGACTTTTATTTTCTGTTTATAGTCATTTAAATTAAACTAATATGAAAATAAAACTAAAACTTTGCCACTAAAACTCATCCCTTTTTAGATAGTTTTTTAATGATTACAGACATCACTTGTAGTCTATAGTTTTGGCTAATATGCCAAGTTGTGTTTTCTGTATTTAATATATGTAAAATACTTTTAACAAAAACTGTTATTAAATTATACCTAGCATTAGTTATGCCTTTGTATTTTACACAGTTTGCACAAATATATCATTTTCACATTATTATTATGATATACAGAGGCAGCAGATGGGCAGGTATAATTACATCCAATTAATTTGTGAAGAAAATGCTTTTATTTATTTTTAGTTCCTGATTATTGTTTAGACATTGCGTGGTAGAGCCAGGACTATTACCCTGTGGGTTCAGTGAAACTCCACCCTGAAAGGGGTGAAATAGACTTTTCTTAATAGGCCCAGAGTAGACCTCTTATAAGATCAGTATAGTAACTAGTCAATCAAGACTCAGGGAACTTCAGAAAGTTTATTACTCTTACTTTAAAAAAGCAAATTATTTGGGGATGAATGCAGTGAGGACCCTGATAGCTGGGAGATCATTCTGTGGTTGCCTGTGTCCTCCCCTCTCTAATTAAAGAAAATATCAATGTGGTCTAGCTTCCTGTCCCTTTCCTAATTGAAGAAGCAATTACTGCTTTTTCTCTTAGGACCTAGAAAAATGTAGTTTGCAGGTATCATGTGGTTCTACATTTATTAGTAAACATTTCCTATCTACAAATCGCATCTTTACTTATTTTAGAGGAGGTCACCTCCTTCTTGCCTGTCATGTGAAGTCTACCCCTTTCTTTCCTTCATGCCCTTGGTCCTAAAACACAATAAATATTCCTGGTCTGCTCCATTATTCCTTAGAATTTACAACAATGTGTATTTTCCATACTTATGGAAACCATCTGATGCTGTTTTGATTACTCATCTATCCCTTAAACAACCTGCCCAGAGTGGTATTTAGGATGATTTATTTTGCAACCAGCATCCAGAATCTTTTTCAGCTAGTTCAGAGTATATTATGTTAAGTACTGCTGCCATCAGATAAATTTAAGTGAGAAACATATTCATTATGTTGCATAATCATAAGTACATAAAATGAAAAATTTGGAACATTTGTCCTCATTCCTAGGTACAAATTTTAGCTTTTTTTATATAAAAAAAATGGAACATCTTCACAAATAATTTAAACATAATCATTTAATTTAATTTGTGCTTTACCTATTTGCCCTCTCTATGTGTCTCTTCATATCATCTTCCTTCTATGCGCACAGATTTTTGTCAAGATTTCCCTTTTTTTATAAAGACAGTAGTCATTTTCGATTAAGGACTACTTTAAAGACCTCACAAAGCTTACTTTCCTCTGTAGAAATCTTGTTTTCAAACAAGGACACCTTCTGAGGTACTGAACATTAGAAAATATGAAAGAAGAAGTGTAATTTTGAAAAAAGATTTATTTATGCACGCAAGAACTGGGGTGTAGGCCAAAGAGGTGCAAGGGATGAGAGGGTTCACTAGAGACAGAGTGGGGAGCAGAACAGGCAGACTGACTGAAATACACTGCTAAGACAGCAGCGGGCAAGACAGGAGAGGTCTGCTGTGCCATATGTGGGTTAGCTCCCTGGTCAAGAGTCGAACTCAGGGCTCAGTGGTGATAGTGCTGAGACTTAACCCGTAAGTCACTAGGGAAGCCCCCTATAGGAAAAAATGTCTTATCCTCCATTACCTAAAATAGCAGTTTCCCCTTTCTTCCCAAAGACTGATAAATTATCCCTGTTCTTACTAAGAGCTATCTTCACAGTGACCTTGCTTCTGTCATTCAATTGTGCTTTTTTAAGATCTTCAAAATTTCCTTTCAAAGCTATGTATTTCAACATTTTCTTGTATTAACCAGAATAAAAATATCAACATTTGTTAGACAAAGAGTTTATTAATTAATCAAAGTAAGGATTGGACCTGGGAAGCAGTCCAACAGATTTTAACCTATGATAATTGTTCCAACAAATACAAGCTTGAATTTAGTTTACATAGGTAGGAATAGTGATCTGTTGATGTTAAAATGTAATTTTTCTTGACAGGGAAGCTCTGGTTCTGGTTGTTTTCATCTAAAACATATTGATGCTATCTGAGTACAGAGGAAGACAATGCTAGAATTTCATCTCTTCCTTTCTAAAGAATGAACTGTGAAAATGCACTGGATACCCATTGTTAACATTTTCTTTATCCAATTCCTTGTCTATTAGTCAGGGTTGAAAAGACTGGCTTTATCCGCAGGCAACATATTTTGCATAGCCATTTTGTAGATTTCAAGTCTATGCAAATAGCTGTTTTTTTTTTTTTTTTTCCTTGTCTATCATAGCAGGGAGGAGTTATTCCCAGAACATTTTACTATATAGTCACACTCGGATATTTTTAAATTTCTTAACCTCAAATGATTCTCTAGTTCTTGTCCTATAATTTCTGACATTCATAACAGTTGAACTCCTTAAAGGTAAATTTTGTGCTTACCAATCTACTTAATTACCTCACTCCTATTTATCCTTCATCTCACCATTCAGTTTCCACCCTCATGATTTAAACAAAACTGCTCTGTGCAGCTAGTTAAGGGAAAGCATAAGTTGATGGTAAATTTTCATTTTTGTTGCATTACCTCTTTTTGGTATTTCTTATTAATCACTCCTTCCTTTAACTTTATTCTCCTCTGTCTTCTACTTTCTTTCCTGTTGCCTTACACTTCTCAAAATTATCTTCTAAGCATCCAAATACATTGATTTTCAATCCATGTTATTTTCATTTGAAATAGATATTTTATTTAACTTAATCCAAACCCTAGTTTTAAGTGCCACTTTATCTTCTAACCACCAAATTGATATTACCAGCTCTCTATATATCTTATGGTCTAGTACTTACCTCCACCTGTAGGACTGAGGAGCCTTAAAGATTTCTCAAAATTAAAGTAGAAATGATGTTGATTTGAAAGCTGTTGGATTCAGAAAGTGGTGTCCTTGGGTTACATCTGAGAAAAGTTCCATGAGAGCTCCCATTTCAGTGGCATGTGGCAAGTTTCCCCAGGAGGCAGAGATATTTAGTTATATCCAAAGGGCAGGTTTAATATGAAAAGGGAAGAGAAGTAAAGGATGCTTGCATAGACATAAGTGGGCAGAAATGAACATATTGGAGAAAGTGATGGCAGGCAAATAGAATTTTTGCTTGTAAGGGACAGGTTTGCTAAAAGAGACTGCTGCCATAGGCAGACATTCTTTTTTTTTTTTTTTATAGAGGCATGTTTTATTTATTTATTTGTTTGTTTGTTTTGTTTATACATGCACTGGGTACAGTCAGAAGCACGGGAGGGTGAGAGAATTCACCAGAGCCAGAGCAGGGAGCAGAGCAGGCAGAAGGACCGAAGTACACTGCTGAGGGGAGCAGCGGGCGGGGGCGGGGTGGGGGGGAGGTCTGCGTGCCTTGTGGGACTCTCCTCCGGTGGCCGAGGAGCAGCCGGGGATGGAACCGGTGCTGCAGAGGCCGCGGGCAGCTTCGCAACCCAGTGCTCAACCGCTGCGCCACCGGGGAGGCCCTAGGCAGACATTCTTGGGTAGAAATCTATCTCTACTGGTTTGCAAAGGTAGAAGGTAGGTGAAGCGAAGCACCTGCACAGTTATGGGCGGGCAGGAGAGCTGCATCTTGACAATGCAGAAATGACACTTACATAGTCCTCTTTGGGAGGGTGTCATTCTTTGGTGGGATTGTTAACTGCTGTTAAATTATTTAATTAATATTTTTTATGGTTGACACCTAAGGATTTTTTTCTATATTTAGTTTGAGTAGGTAGATTTGAAAGGGCCAGTGATTTTTTTTAACAATGCCCCCCAGTCTCCATATGCTCATCTCCAGTCTACACCTAGGTCTGCACCTCAGTTCCTGATACTTTACTTTTCTACAGCTTGTTTAACAACTATGTTAATCATTTCTACCCCCACATCCAGTTTCTGGTCTATGGCACCAGTTTCTGGTTTTGTGATGCCTCCTTCCCAAATTTTCTACTCTTAGCTTCCATCAGAAGTACAAACCAGGGGCCTCGCTGGTGGAATAGGGGTTAAGTTTCAGCTCTGTCACCCCATGGCCTGAGTTCCATCCCTGACCAGGGAGCTAGCCCTCTTAGTGCAACAGAGCTCTCCTGTCTTGTCTGCTGCAGTGTATTTCAGTAGATCTGCCTATTCTGCTCCCCACTCTGTCTCAGGTGAATCTTCTCACCCCCACACCTCTGGACTACACCCCAGTTATTCTATGCTAAATAAATAAATTGATTAAAAAGGTTATTAAAAAGGAAATACAAACCAATTATCTTCCATGCTCCTTTCCAGATCTTTTTCATGTGTCTTTTCAAGCTCAGATATGTGTATGACCTTACATTGTATGGAAACAAAAATGACTTTCAAGATAATACAAACCTAAATTATTTGATATTCTGCTAAATTTTATGTTCTTTTTACCTAACAGCTACTATAATATGACCTAATACTGATCCTATTGTACTGATCATTGATCTTATCCCTATCAAAGCAATGGATGGAGTTGAAATTAATGATTTAGTGGAATCCCTGAGAGTCATATGAAGACAAAATAAAGTGCCATTTGGAAGCACATTCTGGAGAAACAAATTACATAATTAATACATGAGCTCTAATGAATGATATGATGGAGTGCCAATCCTCTGTCTCAGCAAGATACAGTTTTGCCCATCATATAGCCAAAGTGTAAAAATGACAAAATTATAATGTAATATGGGAATAAAAATGAAATACTTTTATTAAACAAAAAATGTATAGTGATAAATATTTGTCATTTAAAAATTATTCGGTGGAAAGAATTTATATCAGTGTTGACAAAACACATTAGCATATAGAATTAGATGTCATATACTTTCCAAAGTTTTCCTATTTCAAAATTCCAATACATCCTAAAATAATCAGGTTGCATATATATATAATTTTAAACTCATATAAAATGTCAGCTATTGCAGTAAAAATGGGATTTTATTTTTCTCACTCCAAATATGAAAAAAAGAAAAATGTTACAACAAAAACTGCATATTTTCAAACTAGTCCAATTAGCATCATTTTGCTCTGGTATACTGGTCTTTGTTTTGAATTCTTTTAACAATGTTAATTTTGGCTCAAAGATAAGCATAGAATTTTTTTAGCAGTCCATGTTGTATTGCTTCTTTAAGTTAATACATTTTACTTCATAGTGAGAGACGAAATTAATGCTGAATAAAAACTTATTTGCAGAATAATTTCGTATTGCTTCTTTCAGTATTCTTATTTTATTCTATTAATTAAAGTGTCAGTTTTCTCTATGTACTTTACTTTGGCCCTCAAACATTTGCTTTTCATAACAAATGATAACTTAATATCTCAGTACCTACTGTATAAATTTTAAAATAGTAGCATTAAGCCTGTGTTTATAAAGTTTTAAATTAAAACTATTACTCTGATAAATCCAAATGGCAAAATTATATATAACATCATTTTGTATCTTATTTATAAAGTTATTCAAAATTATTCCAATTTTGTATAATCTTGGCATAATTTTGGCAGCATATGTCCAAACTCCAATGCTTTACTCTAAGATTATATCCTCTTTGAGTCTGTCCTTTAGTGAAAAGTTTACATTGCAAATAAAATTTTATGACATGCTAAAAGAAATATATATATTATCATATATATATGATATATAAAGTAAATATTTACCTGGTGAAATCAGAAGTTTCAATTCTGGAAGAACAAGAAAAAAAGATTTTTCTGGTTATTCATAGCAATTTGACACAATAATTTTAAATATTTATAATTCCCAGGAACTCATGATAATTAACTGCCTCTTGGTTAACTTTATGTCACAGATGAACATATTGAAGAAAGTGATGGCAGGGAATAGAATTTTTGCTTGTTGGGTGGTTCTAATTTTATGGTGATAAATGACAGTAAAAACAGTGGGTGAGAAAGAAAAGACTCCTATTGTAGGGGTTGGGAATTTTAAAAAGATCTTGAAGCAGAAAATGATGCTATAGAAGAAGAGGAAATATTTGTAGATTTATTGTTCAGGAGTATAAATTAAATTGTCTTTAATTATTTTTCTGAGGTAAAATCAGAATTCTGTAGATATATATTTTTCAGTTTGAAATACTGGCATTATAACATAACATGAATATATAGTAGAGGCCACTAAAGGCCACTAGCCAAGATAAATAATTCTTTGAGATTATTGAATCAGGTTTCTTGCCCCAAGTCATATCAGCTCAGCAGGCTGCTCACAGCTCTCACTGCAGTCTTCAATTTGGCAGAGGTTAAAAAGCTAATATCTATACTAACAAAAGAGATGTTTATAGGGCTTGGCATGGGGAAAGGACTCAGAGCTTCCATGTCCTCTCCAGACAAGTCCCTCTTTTAATAGCTTCATGTGTTTGTCAAACTGGGTAGCACTCTAAACCCTGTCCTTTGAGTTTTTATAAAGGTTTCATTGCATAATCATGATTGATTAACTCATTGACCCTTGGCAATTGATTCAACCTCTAGCACTTATATCCTCTCAGAAGGTTAGGTGGCAGAGAGGACTGGTACTAAAAGTTCTAACCCTCTCATCACATGGTTGGTTCGCCAGGCAGCAATTCCTCATCCTTAGGTTATAAGGGCTGTCCAAAAGTCACATCATTAATATAACAAAAGACACCTTTATAGATTTTATTCAGAAAATTCCAAGGGTTTTAAGAGCTCTGTGCCAGGCATGTATTACTAAAGACCAGGTAGATATTTCTTATTATAAATCATAGTATCATTCCTATTCCATAAGGTCTTAGTCAATAGTCTTCATATATGCTGGTCAAATATTCTAAATGAATACCATCACACGTATATTGATATCGAATACCATCACACATATGTATTGTATGGATACTATCACACATATATTAATCTAATTAGTTTACTTTACTTTTATCCTATGATCATATAAACCTTTTTTTTTTTTAAGATTTTATTTATTTATGCATACAAGAATTTGGGTACAGGCCAGAAGTGAGAGAATTCACCAGAGACAGGATGGGGAACCAAACAGGCGGATTGATTGAAATACACTGCTGAGGGGAGCAGCGGGCGAGTCAGGAGATGTCTGCTGCACCATATGGGTAGCTCCCTGGCTGGGGATCAAACTGGTGCTGCAATGGCTGTGGATAGCTTCATAGGTTGCGTCTTAATCCCTTGCACCACCAGAGAGGCCCTGATCATATAAAACTTTAAGAATAGAAAATGACTTTGCATCCAGCTATAGGAAGTGACTTCACTGACCATGGAAAAAGAATATTCTGACAGATTTTAGATATATTTATAACAGAATTTAAGTAAGTCAATGAAATAACTCATACATTTTACTTTTGTGAGTCTGTGCTGACAGGTCCTACAATGCTATACTTCTAACTGTGTAAGCAGGAACAACATAAATGTGAGTTGTGTTTCAACAAAATAATGAATTTCCCCTTGTGAGATCTGACAAACTGTCTACCTAAGGGATCCTTACCTTAAAAGAAGTTTATTTTTCTGTTATGTTTTTCTTTAAATTTTGTAGAAAATACTGTAATACTCATTTCACGATTTTACAAGCCATTGAAAGTTCCTTTTTCAATAAAAAAGATTTCCTATAGGCACTGTATTTAATTTAACATTCTCTTTAGATACCAATATTAGAGTTTCCATAAAACAAAACCAATAAAAAAAAGTCAAAAGGAAACAAAGACCTTATTGAGGGCTATTCCACGACTCATAATTTTCTTTTGTGCCTTTAAGAATTCACAATTTTTCTCTTGAGCTGATGGTTTTTAGTACCATGTTATCTTTTAATAGCACCTGAAGATATTTCCTAAGATAGTTTGCCGAGTGTCTATGAATTAGGAAAGATTCACATTGCAACTATTTCCTCTTTAAAACCCAGTAAATTAAGGTATTGTGCTCCAACCTCCAATGTCTATAATTATTAAAATCTGCACTAATGCAAAATAAAAACATATGTAAAATAATCTAAAATATCATTATTCCCTAAATAAATTATGAGTGTATACACTTTAATTCCCATTATTACCTTGGAACAACTTCATAAATAAATGTATTTATTCTTCATAAATAACATATTTACTGATTGAAAATCTATCTTTTCATCTTATTCCATAATCCATTTTCCATCCATCTAATCATCAACTTGTACCATTCAGATAGCATGACCAGCTGAATCAGATAGAAAGTGATAAAATATTTTTGCTTCACGGTGTTTCTTCAGTTTATTAAAGTTGAAAGCATAGAAAATTGTATTTGTTGTCACTATGTGGACTATGTTTATAAGACAGCAAAATAATCTATCCAATTCTGCTGTAATGACAGTTACAAATTCTATAGCAGATGTACAGAAAAATTGTTCTAGATACATATTCTTGTGTAGAACTAGTGCTTTTCTTTAAACTTAACTGACTTAATAAAAATAAAAGAGATTTGAGGATAATATTAGCCAGGTAATTCTGTTTTCATAACCACACAAAACACCATTAAAATACCCCACAATATCTACAAATACAAAGCAGCCTAGACAATAAAACCTGGAAAAGATGATTCAAATTAAAAAAAAATAGTTAAAAGCATATACTTTGAGTAAAAATGCTATTATCTCTTTCTTGTAAAAGTGTAGGATACTTGATACTCTTTCATCATATATACTTCATGTTATCCTTGAAACATAATGGGAGGCATAAGTTCAATTAGTAAAAGTTTTGTAACACACTCGGAAATGTTTCACAACAGTGTTTCAATCTTTTCTTTTTCATTTAATAATATTTCTGGTAATAAAATGCTAGCATTTCAATATCTAATCTTTCTGTGTCCATTGAAAATTGATATTTAAAAAAGCATTCAGGAATTCTATTAGATCTAATTGTCTATGAAATATCAGGAAATAACAGAAATAGGAGAAAAAAATATTTGGCAATGGCTGAGTTCAAGGCCTTGAAAGAAAATGATCCACAATATTAGTTTATTTTAATTAGCTTCTCACAAAATTCTCTGTTGTTCTGTATTCCATGCTACCATGGATTCCATTATTCTTATCATTGTAGTGAATTATCTTAAGTAGAAGTATGATATTACTTTTAAATACTAATCACCTGCTTTAAATTGAAATTTTAATGTGAAAGTTGATTTCTTGCTTTTCAGCTTAGCAAATTCTTCCTTATTTGCCAGAAGTTCATATTATAGCTGTAGAATCATTATCTATTAGCTTCTACTAGGTGTTTTAAAACCCATTAAAATTTTCTGTAACACGAGTCAATTTTATTGAGTGTCCACTTTGCCCTAGTATCTTATTACTGAAGTTGTCCTATGTATATACTATAGAAATTAGGGACATAGTAGCATACCTGCTGCTGACAGCTGTGAATATCTGTGCAGTATTCAAAACGACATATGCACAATTGCTACCTATATCAGCTAGTCCTCAATTCATGTGATCAGGAAGGGGTGCAATTCCCAGTGCACAAATTATTGAGAATTCTAACTTTTACCTGTCTTTTCATTTCCTAAAATTAATATTGTGCTCTTCACATATTCAATATATTTGCATAAATTTCCATATTGTATCCCTCTGTAGTTGCGTTCCTGTCATCTTCCCTAAGGGGGTGAATATAGATGTCTTTTCCTTTTAAAATTAGCTATGAGAGTTTGTTTAAAATATATTTTTATTCTAGAATAAATTAATTTCAGTACCTAGTACATTATAGGTACTTAATGAAAGTTCAGTAATTTGTAGCACACAACAAAAGCAGTAAGTGTTATAAAGATGTAAACTGTAATTTTTATATTTATTTATCAAATTGTGCTTTATCTTCTATTTTCAGTTACTTCTTCACTTTGATGTTAAAATATGAAGAATTAGTGCATTTTGTATTTTTTGAAATGTCAGTTAATTGAATAAGACTCATCTACTTTATCTCACTTTTATAGACAAATTAAGGAAATATGCTTAAATTTCTGAAAAAAATATTATGTCTCTAGTAAATTGACTTACTTGAATTTTAGAAATATTAATACATTTCAGACCATAATTTTAATTATGAGATTGACATTATAATATTTCAATCTTGTTTAAGATGATACTCTATTTTATTTAAAACCATACATGTGAAGATTGACCTGCTCAATGCATATTTAGTAGACCAAGACTGAAATATGTTTACCATAGAGTGTGAAATTTTGTCTTAGTTTATTTTCAAGTTAAAAATATTGTCCCTCAAATAATAATGCTATAATTCACTATATTCTAATTTGGAAATGCCAAATTTAATTCATTTTTAAGTTTTTTTTTGGGGGGGTAACAATTTGGGAAGTTGTAAGAGTAAGGTACAAAAAAAACCCCTCTTCATTATTCTTATAATACTAGCAGTAGCAAATCATTAGTACCTAAACAGACCATTCTCTTAGCTTTCCTTTCTGTACTTGGTCTGACAGGAGTGAGAAAGAGAAAAGAAATATGACACAATAGTAGTAGATCTTTGAAGTATGGCTTGAGTGTTAAGAAATATAAAACAAAGGAGTATTTTTTTTTTTTGCCAAATTTAATCTGCTTATATTCTGTGTATCTTTTGTGAGTGAAACGTGAATGGCAGGAAACTTACAGTAAAAATAAAAGAAGACATTTGGAAGTGAAGGAGGAAATATGACAGATATATATGTCAGATATATATGAC